TGTGTGTGTCAAACTCACTTATCAGAGACAAGTTCTCCTTCCTGGGGAGTGAAGCTGTGCTGTTGGCCACAGCCCCTTCCTCCCAGCCCCTGCCTGGGTGGCGGGGGCAGCACGGGCCCTTCCCTCGGTATGTGTGGCACCTGAAAGGAGCGCTGTGCTTCCCTCTAATACCTGGTGTCTAAGGCTGCCCCCTCACAGAGCAGAGGTTTATCTGTGCGCCATCTCTTCCCAAGGGGCAGCTGTTCGATACAAATGAATAAAATGAGGAATGTTGGACTTCAGTTACAAATAATCTCTCAACATGGTTACATCCTTTACACACAAACATGTGCATATAAACAGTACAATTCTTCACACAAATGCTTTTTATCCTAATTACCAACTTATCTTTATGTAGACTGCCCGTGGGCGCGCGTGGCCCTCCTCCCAGCAGTGGACACTTCCTCTTGCCCTGCCCAGCGGCGGCCGTCAGCCCGCTCTCAAGCCTGGGCGTGGCTTCTTCCCACCGTCTCACCTGCCCAGGGGCTGACCCTCCCTCCCCTCCCGGCCGAGCTGCCTTAGTGTCCTGTGTGCTTGGCCCCTGGAGACCCTGGCTCACCGGCCCCCAGCCCTGATGAGAGCCCTCAGGGGACAGTAGGAGGTGCAGTAAGGGGTGCAGCCGGAGAGGCAGAGGGGCGCCCACTCTGCTCCCCTCAGCCCCGCAGGTGGGGAGGTGGCGCCCGCAGGTCCCGCTCAGCGCTGCGCTCTGCACTGAGCTGGGTTTGCGACAGTGTTCCCAGTGGGGCCCAGCCCCCTGGCGGCGCTGCCGACGGCCCGCAGTTCTCTCCTTAGGGCCCTGCAGTCTCCACCCCTGCACCCACTGCCCCACGCCCCTGCCCGGTGGGCGAATGTCTGCCCCTCACGCCCCCACTTCCTCTTGCGGGTGCTCTGCCCAAGGCCTAACGGTGAGCACCCAGCTTATCAGAGCAACTGGTCTGGAGCCTGTCTCTCCCCTGCTGGTCAGCGCATCTGCCCTTCCTGTCCCAGCCTCAGCCCCCGGGATGCCTGCCCAGCGCGTTGTGCTTGCGGGTGGACCTTGGAGACCTCGGAGAAGATGTGTCATCAAAACAGACATTCACTCGTGTAAAAGGGTTTTCGGGAAATGGTTGTGTCGTTAAGGTTTGTTTTAGGGCGGGCACAAGCGTTCTAGGGCCCGGCTGTTTAGAATTCTAGGTCGTCCAGCTGAAGGACCCCAGGTAGACCTCATTTTACAGGTGGGGAAGTGGAGGCCAGGTCAGGGGCGCAGAGCAAGTGCGAGGAGCGGTGTGAGTGGCAGGAAGGAGCTGCAGGGGGAGGCAGTGCGGACGGGTGGCTTGCTGATGCAAATGAGTTGCTAAAATAGTGGGCTGAGCTGGCTGGCCCTCCCGGGCGCCCAGGAAAGAACACAGCCGCTCCTCTGAGCCTGGCACAGTTCTGAGGGCTTCCGTGGATTTCTTCCCTAATCCCGTCAGCTGCCGGAGGAGATAGGGTCTGTGGTTGGCCCCATTTCACTACATGGAAAGTGAGGCGTAGGAAAATTAAGAAACGAGTTTAAGGTCATACAAAATGGAGGAGCTGGGATTTCAACCCAATCTATCTTCAGACCCTGCTGCGCCCACCTTCTCCCCCCTTTTATTTTATTTTTAAAACTTTTATGTTGAAGCTAACATACATACAGAAGAAATTATTAACCGTTTAGCTTACTGATTGTCACAAAATTTAGGGCCTGTGTTCTTAAGCACTGCAGCAAGCCATATATGTGGGCCCTGATGTCAGGCCTGGTTTGAAGCCAGTTTCTGTCGCTGTGTGAACTTGGGTGAGCTCCTTAGCCGCTCTGAATCTCAGTTCTTCACTGTGCTAGTCAGGTGTGTGATGCTTGGAGCATGGGATCGTACCTAGCATGCTTGGTCATGGTAAATGTTTGGTGATTTATCTTTTAAAAAATATGTATTTTTATTGATTTCAGAGAGGAAGGGAGAGGGGGAGAGAGCTAGAAATATCAATGATGAGAGAGAATCGTGGATCAGCTGCCTCCTGCACACCCCACACTGGGGATCGAGCCTGCAACCCAGGCGTGTGCCCTGAACGGGAATCGAACCGTGACCTCCTGGTTCGTAGGTTGATGCTTAACCACAGAGCCACGCAGGCTGGGCTGAATGATTTCTCTTATAAATAATTGAGATTACACGTTACGTTGGCTTTGTTCAGTGGTCTGAATGTCTTCCTAACCTGTCAGTTGCCTCTTAATCACATAGGTACTTGTATGATGGCTGGTTTTGGTAAATCACTAAACGTAGCTGAAACATTTTGGGACGTGCGGAATCCCCCATGCATTGAGAGTCCTTGATTTAAAACATCCCCACCTGTGCCTTTTAAACGTAACCACCTTTGGGCAGTATAACTTCAATATCTGCTCCCTAGGGTTGTAAAGGAGCCTTTGGGACGCTCAGCAGTTTAACCCCAGTTTCTCCCTGGTTTGTAATGGACCAGAACTTATTTACACATTGTGTTAAGTGCCAGATTCCTAAAAGTTGCCATTCACCCTCCAGAGGAATATATTGAGCTTCTAAGAAATTATTTATTTTAGTATTTTTTTAAAATCCTAAAGAATAACACTTAACACATTTACAAAATCAACTATAAAAGTTGATTTTTATAGTTGGCTTTTCTATTCTATGTATGATCCCAGCACAGCCACTTTATTACATATTACATATGCCTTCCATGGCTCTGTGGATGGTAATGACAGGGTTGTTGTGGGGGTTATGCCGATGGCGGGTGTGAACACGGAACACGGCCCAACGTGTAATGCACACTGACTGAGCAGAGACAGCTGCTCTTGTTAATTGTTAATGCCGAGGCACCTGAGACCTAGAACACCCTGTGCCTTTCTTCCCAGGAACCTTCCTGCCTGAGCCAGGACCTGCATGTCCAGGAGGGAGGGAGATGGTGGCTGGTGCTGGTGCAGCCCTCTGGGCAGCAGGCTCTCCCACGCGGGAGGTGCCACACAGATCGCGGTGCGCTTGATCTGAAGAGGAAACTAGGGAGCCGGTGGCAGAGCTGGGGTGATGGGAGGCTTGGCAGCGAAGGTGAGTGCACACAGCCTCCTTGGAGGCAGCAGTGTCCCCGTGCTGAGTGGGTGGCTGTCATTTGGTTTTAGCTTCATAAGCTCTTTCTTTTGTTTCTGAAGAGCTGGCCAAGACTTAGTCCTGCTCTTTAAGGAGGAGAAAATTGAACTGTGGCTTCAAGATGGAACTGCTTTCGAAAGCCTTACTCGAAGTCGCTGGCAGAGCCACTGCCCGCTTTCTGACTTGTATTAAACCTGAGACGCAGCCCCCACGGCATGCAGGGTGTTCGTCTCAGGGCGCTGATCTTATTTGCAACTTGTGGAACTCAGTTTGTGGCAGGCGGATAAAATTCAGACAGTCTTCCTGCCTGAATTTCATCCTCCTCTTACCCTTGACGTCTTGTGTGTTTCCTCTTGTCCGGGAGGTGAGGGCTAGTCATTATTGTCTCCAGCATTTCCATGGTTGGTGCCGGCTGTGCCAAAAGACACCGAGAGCCTGGGGGTGCGCACCCGCTGTGGTGGCCCCTGCTGCCGGGCTTGTGTGCTCGGCCACAGCGGCTTGGACTTGGGGAAACCCCTGTGGAGGGAGGAATTGTGCTTTACTTTCCAACACCATGGACTGCTGACAGGGTTCCTCGCCGGTTAGTCTGGCAGCAGCCGTGATGCTCAGGGTGGTCCCCGCTTCCTTGCTGTGTCTGTCGTCCGCTCACATGCCAAGAGCTCCTGGGGACGGATTTTCTTCCTCTTGTTACCCCCACTGCTTACCTTGTTTTTGGGACATCACCCAGCTCTCAGCAGATGTTTCTTGGATGGACTGTTCCTGAAACTTGCCCACTGAGAACATAGCTGTTAGTCCTAATTAATTCAGCAGATAGATTTTTAAATCCTTAATCCATGCCAGGCCTTTGGCCAGGCCGTGTATCCAGAGGCTGTGAGTGCTGTGCCTGCCTGACGCTTAGAAGCCTGTGCAGCGAGACGTGGGGACAGCTGTAGATACAGTTGTTTCAGGAGGGGTGCAACCCAAGGGTCCTGGGAGGGAGGAGGGTCTGTGGCTTTCAGGCAGAGTGAGGAAGGCTTCTCAGAGGAGGTGGCCTTGGAATGTTCCGGGTGTGTCTCCTGGTGGCACCTGTTACCAGCTCCCCGTTTTCCGGATGCTGAAGGCAAAGAGGACCTCGGGCATGGCACAGCGGTCCTGGGTGTTGAGAGAACTGAGAGTGGCAGTGCAAGGCTGGGGAGGCTGGCAGGGACGGATTGGGAGGGCCCTGTGCCAGCTCAGGGAATTTAGGCTTATTCTGTCTTCAGAGAACGTGTGACTTGGAGGCAGGCCATCGGCAGCTGGCCTCCTGGCGGCTCCCCAGTTCCCCCTGCAGCCTGTCTTGGAAGCACGCACTCTGCAGCCACCCCTTCATGGCGCCCTCGAAAGGCAGGTGCTCTGGAGGGCGGCGTTGGCTTTCTGGCACTGGTGGCACCAGGTGGAGGGTGTGAGGACAGGCGGCCTAGGCCCTTGCAGATTTGGGTTTTAGAGTGTGTTGCAAGCGGAAGTACTTCTTTCCTTTTAGGTTTATTTCCCCGAAGGCTAACACCCTGTTCCTGAGGTTTAAGGAACTTACTAGTAAACTGGACTTGGAACCAGCGGCGGCCTCAAAGGTGGCTCAGCGTCTCCCTTAGAAGAGGCCCTCTGGCTGCTGTCTGCGGCCGCCGCGGCCGAGGGGAGAACGGAGCACGAGGCGTTCCTGCCATTCTGGTGTCAACATTTCAGTTCATGTTGTGGCAGGGACTGGAGCTTTTAATGTGGCTAAAGTAGAGGAAATCCACATTTACTGGGCACCTACTGTGTGTCAGATGCAGGGTGTGGTGTGCTGGCGCTTTCACCAAACCTCGTGTCATTTATCCTCAGGGCTACCTGGGATTTCTGTGGTATGGCCCCGTTTTCCTGCTGGGGAGGAGGGAAGTTGAGGCTCAGAAAGGTTGAGCATCTCCCCTGAGGACTTCCTCTTGGGGTCAGCTTTTGGCCAGCTTGACTGTTGGAGTGTTGATGGTGTTTTGATAATCCTAATTACCTTTGACGATGCCAGAGATTAGCTCTTAACGATGTGCTGACTGTGTTCCTTACCATATTTCCCTTTTAATTGGAAAAGCCAAGTAGCACTTTCCGGTTTGTGTGTGTTGGACTCTCCCTGCATCTTTGTGGTGTGAATGCTGCTCTTGTTTCAGGGTTTCCCCAGAGCAGCGTCTCAGAGATGGTTTGCTGTGGCCTCCCCGGGAGGGGCTGCAGCCCAGGAAGTCCAGGCTGTGTGAGCCGCAGCGCCTTTAGAATGTGCTCCCAGGTGGGGCGGGGTGCTCTCACCCTTTTGGAGGATGCACTGAGTTTTTGCTCTGTGGGTTGGAGGACACTTTATTTTGTGCCACATCTTGATAATTTCATTTTTGTATTAAACTCTAATTTTGTCTGTAGCACAGTGTGGTTCTGCCTTCCAAGAGAAGTTGATACCCAGTTAGTATAACATCATAGTTAGACATTCCTTCCTTCCTCGCTGGGTCACAGTTCCGGCTTTTATGTGCAGTGCAGTCTATATCTGAATTCTGCATTTCGATTTATTCCTTCATATTTCTACTTTTTTGTTCCAGTGCTGTACTGACCGGTTCCTTCAATCTCTCGGAGGGAGAGTAATCTCTCCTCCCTTTTCTGCTCCGAATGACTTTGCTTTTGCTGTGTTGACATTGAGAGGAGGGCCAGGCTTCTGGAAGGAGAGCAGGAAGGCTCTTTGTAAAAGCTATGACACCCGAAAGAGAGTGGTTATCCTTGTTACTGCCAGCCCCAGAACCTTCAGCTACTTGCTGTTTGCTGATGGCAGCTGCCAACAGAGTGCCTGCTGCGGGCCGGGGCCTAGTGAATGCTTTTCTCTTGGTGCTTTATTTCATTCTCCCAAGGCAGGATGGTAGAGCTGGGAGTAGAACCCAGGCAAAGTCCTGTTCTTTGTGTTGTTCTGCTCCATAGGTCAGATTTATTTTTATTAAAAATACTAGAAGCCCGTTGCATGAAGATTTGCGCAATAGGCCTTCCTTCCCCTGGCTGCCGGCACCGGTTTTCCTCTGGCACCCGGGACCAAGGTCTTTGGTCCTGCTGCAGCGAGGCTTGGCTTCTCTGCCTCTTCAGTCTTCAGCCTTCACTCTGGCCAGAGCCTTCAATTTCGCTCCGTGCCTGTGTATGCAAATTAACCGCCATCTTTGTTGGGTTAATTTGCATAGTTGCTGATTGGCTGATGGACGTAGTGGAGTGACACCAATTTGTTTCTCTTTTATTAGTGTAGATAATCTGTGACCTCCTGGTTCATAGCTCAACGCTCAACCACACCAGCTGGGTCATAGGTCAGATTAAAATGCAGCACCAGGTCTCTTTAGTTTTGAAATTTTAAAGGACAGTAGAAGGTGACATAACATATGCCAGGTCCTCAGTCCTCTGGGGACTGTGCTGTCCAGGCTGGTACATCTCTCACCCCTTCTTCCCACCCCCGCCTTAAGCAGAGAACTGTCGGCAGGGCCCTGGGTGTGTGTCAGTGGCGGCTTTGACTCTTCCCACTCAGGGTTATCGTAGGGTTATGGCATTTATTTTTCCTTTACTGTTTATCCGTCTTCACTGAGCCAGCCTTCTGACCTGGGGTTTTATAACTGTGAACTAAGCCATTCAGCCACTAGGAATGGCCTCCTTGGGGGCCAGTCCCATAGGTCCCAGCCCTGCCGTTAAGTAACAGTGTGATCTTGGGCCTGTTTCTTAACCTCTCTGAGCCTCAGTTTTCACATGCCCTACTGCGAAGTCCTGAGTGAGCTGGCTGAAACATTTGTGGAGGGCATGCTGAAGTGGGCGTGGTTGGGGTAATCTCACTGCACGTGGCATATACAGCTTACCTTCTTCAGAACAAGTAGAACCTTGTCCTATATGTGGGTTATGAATTCACACACTTCCAACAGAGGCAGCCTGTTCATCGAGAAACACACACACACATGAAAAAACAGAAACCTGCCCCTGCCTGGCACAGTCCTCATGCTGCCGCCGGGTTCTCCTGGGGCTGGCGGTGTGGCTGGTGGGTGGTGATGAGGATGGCAAAGATGATATTTTACATGTTTTACCCTACGCAGATCCTTTGTTTGTGTATCTTCCTGTTATTTTACATCACGATAGTTTATGTTAAAACTAGCATGTGGTCCTGAATGGAAAGGTGGGTCTGTAGGACTTCTTCCAAGGGTCCCTTCTTTAAAGGGTGTCAGGACATTCGCGCTGTGCAGAGGAAGAGTGGTGTCTTTGGCTTTTACAGCCACTGCCTAAATTTCCGTGTTGATGTTTTCCCTAGTTTCTCCTTGGACCAAGATGACTGATGGAAACCTTTCCAGCTCTACAAATGGCGTGGCCTTGATGGGCATCCTGGATGGTCGGCCAGGAAACCACATTCAGAGCCTGCAACACTTGAATCTCAAGGCGCCCAGATCCCTCTCGCTGCCGGAGTATGGGCCCAAGCTGAAACACGGGGCTCTAGACCAGCACAGCCTACAGTCTGTGGACTCGGGCATTCCTACCCTAGAGATCGGCAACCCAGAGCCCGTCCCCTGCAGCGTGGTCCATGTGAAGAGGAAACAGTCTGAGTCGGAGATAGTCCCTGAGCGGGCCTGCCAGAGCGCATGCCCGCTGCCGTCCTACGCGCCACCAGCTCCCACCAGCGCCGAGCGGGAGCAGAGTGTGCGCAAGTCCTCCACGTTCCCCAGGACGGGCTATGACTCGGTGAAGCTCTACAGCCCCACCTCCAAAGCCCTGAACCGCAGTGATGATGTCTCCGTCTGCAGCGTGTCCAGTCTCGGCACAGAGCTGTCCACCACCCTGTCCGTCAGTAATGAGGACATCCTGGACCTCATGGTCACGAGCAGCTCCAGTGCCATCGTGACCCTGGAGAATGACGATGACCCGCAGTTTACTGATGTCACCTTGAGCTCCATCAAGGAAACCCATGACCTACACCAGCAGGACTGTGTTGATGAAATTGCAGAGGGAAGTAAATTGAAAAAATTGGGACCATTTAGTAACTTCTTTACAAGGTAATGCCATCTTTGTTTCTCCAGGGGATCGGGGTTGTTGCATTCAGACCAGTTGAACTGTTCTTGTCTGAAACGTGTGCGTGTTAGGACACCCTGTTGAGCAGGCCCTGTGTCAGGCAGGTGGTCAGGCCTTTCCCCAGTAGCCCAGAGTCCTGTGGGGTGTTGTTAGGACTGGTCTGTGGTGGTGCTGCTTTTTGATTCCTCACTGCTAGCTGTCACTTCTGTGTCCCTGGCTCTCGCACAGTCTGTTGTCACTTCCCGCCCCTGACCTGCTATGCCTGGGGGTGACCCACAATGGTCCGTGTTACCAAATCAGCAGCCTTTGTCAGCCTGATGCTCTCAAGGGCCCTTTATGCCAATACCTTGTGTCTCCTGGGCCAACCAGAGGGTGCTGATGTGGTTGATGTCAGAGTCAGTAACCCACATTTCTCACCCCAGCCCCATTTGCATAACCCAGGCCTGGTATTTCTGGGTGTCTGTCACTGCTGAGATGTGTGCTGTCACCTGTGTTGGGACTAGGCCATGGTGCCCCACTCCCCATGGTGCCCTGTCACCCAGGAGCCAAACCATGGCTGCTGAGGTCCCTGTGTCTCACCGCAAGCCCCATGGGGACAGCTTCTACTGCTTTGGCCTCTTCTCTGTGCTTTCGTGTTTTTATTCAACACTGTTTGTGTCCCAGGCTTTGCTCTTGGCAGGTAATACGAGAAAATTGTGGTGGTAGGAATAGTAATAAGGAATGACTGTTGGTGGGTTTACAGGCGGTGGAAGCAGGCACAACAGTTAGTCTCACAAGCAAATGGGAGCTCCTAAACCGTGGCGTGCTGTGAGGAAGGCACGGGCTGTGGAGAGGGTGTGTGCAGAGCGGCCGTATGCTCACAGCTGCTCTTCAGAGGGCCCTGGCCCAGGGCTTGGCAGGTGGGAACATTCCTGTGTCGACCCTGTCTGCCCCATGTGTGTGCCCCCAGCAAAACCCATGCTGGGCACTGCATACAGGGTGTTGCTTCAGATGGTGTGATGCGCTGGCATCAGGCATCTGTGACTGGGCATGCACGCTAACCTGCCGCTGCCTCAGTTGCTTCATCAGCTGGATGTGGGGGTCCTCGCAGATGTGTCCCAGACCTGTCCTGAGTGAGCCCTCTGAACAGGGCTGTGTCTTGTCGGCACCTTTTCTCTGATGTGCTGGCAAACAGGTATGGGGCTCCCAGGAGTACCGTGCCTGGTCTCAGAGTGCATCACTCAACCATGGCCTTCATTGGGGAGGGACCCAGGAACTTTAGGGGAGACTCACTCTCCCTGCCAAGGCCATGGCCTAAGGTCGTGGAGTGGCAGTTCAGGTTTGTGTGACTGCACTGACCCCTTTACGCAGGTCAGTGTTTCAGCGTGTCCTGTTTATGGAACCAGCTGGTGCCTGTTCAGGCTCCTCAGGACCAATCCCTGAGCTCCAGAATCAGGATCTCGGCGAAGGGTCTGGGGATAGGCTTTCAGAATCCTTGGGGGTTCTTGGCCAATTTGGGAAACCTTGCTCATGAGGGTGGCTGGGAGCTACACAGAGGAAAGAGCTTAGCTTTGGAATTCAAGAGACCTGTATCCATGTCCTAGCTGTGTGACCTTGCAGAAGTTACTTCACCTCTCTGAACTAGTTTTCTCATCTTTAAAATAACATTAGTAAGTGCCTAGCACGTGGTGCTGCTGTGTTCACGTACAGTGTGCTCTTACCTTTGTCGTCCTCGACACCCTTGTGCTTTCTGTCTTGGCTTCCTTGTCTGCAAAATGAGGGTTCTACCCCTTGTAGTCCATGGGGCAGAAGTGGTTCACACATGTGAAGCAGTATAGACCCAGACAAGTGTGAACAGTACAGACCCAGGCAAGTGTGAACAGTACAGACCCAGATGTGTGAACAGTACAGACCCAGACAAGTGTGAGCAATACACACCCAGACAAAATGTGAACAGTACAGACCCAGGCAAGTGTGAACAGTACAGACCCAGATGTGTGAACAGTACAGACCCAGACAAGTGTGAGCAGTACGGACCCAAACAAGTGTGAGCAGTACAGACCCAGACAAGTGTGAACAGTACACAGACCCAGACAAAGTGTGAACAGTACAGACCCAGGCAAGTGTGAACAGTACAGACCCAGATGTGTGAACAGTACAGACCCAGACAAGTGTGAGCAATACACACCCAGACAAAATGTGAACAGTACAGACCCAGACAAGTGTGAACAGTACGGACCCAAACAAGTGTGAGCAGTACACACCCAGACAAGTGTGAACAGTACACACCCAGACAAGTGTGAAGCAGTGCAGACGGAGCAAGCCTTGAAGTCTCAGTTGCTTGTTGTGATTCTCCTAACTGCCTTGTCTCTCTCTGTTTCGGAGCCTCTTCTGTGAGATCATTTCTAAAGCTGCTGGTGCTTGAAAATCCTTTCAGCTGTTTGCCACAGAAATCAGATGTCCCCTCTTTGCTTTATTCCTTGGTTCTTGTCTCCTTATTCTTGTTCTGATGGCTGAAACATTATTGTGAGCCATCATTAAGTACCTTTGGGAAGCTAGTGGAATATTAATGACAAATGAATCAAATATGATATCATGGGCCATGTCTAGTGAGTTTTGTCCTAGAATCTTCAAGTCTTAGAGGAGAGTGTCAATCTAGATTTCCTTTGATGGGGAAAGTGCTCTGGGCCCAAAATGTTTGGAACCTACTAAACATTTTACAGGTGAGTAAATTTACAGGGGACTTACAGCGAGGGTCTGGCACACAGTAGGTACTCAGAGGACTGCAGGCTGTGTGAGTTTCTGTTGAGGGCAGGTCCTTTGGGGTTCTCAGCCCAGGCTTCTGAGTCATCCTGTTTCTTCACTTGATCCCCTGTGCCCAAGCGACTCTCTTTACCCTAGCGCCTGTCTGTTCTCCTTATTCTCACTGAGTCAAGTTCTAGGTTGTAGAAGGAAGTGTAGGCAGGACTGTGGGAGGCTAGTCTAGGACAAAGGGGCTCGGGAGGAGGAAGGGGTGGAGATGGTTGGGAACCTGTGGCCTGAGAAGTAGGCCTGTCGGTGACTCCGGCTGCTTGAGGAGGGTGGCCTGGAGGAGAGGGAGCTGACGAGTAGCAGGAAGGCTGGCTTGGGCCTGGCCACTGCCAAGGGGAAGTGCAGGCCCAGCTCTTGCTCTTATTTTTTTCTTTCATCCAGGCTGTGATAAGCACCCCTGTGGCAGACTCCACTCTGAGCTTAGAGATAGTCCCTGCCCTCAGGAGCTTACTGCTGAGGGGAAGACAGACCAGACCCTGTGGGGCAGGGGGAGGTCCAGCGGTCCAGAGCACGGGCTCAGGAGTCAGGCGGGCTGGCTTCCATGTGCGCTCTCCTACTTACTAGCTGTGTGACCTTCGGCAAGTTACTTCACCTCTCTGAGCCTTAAATGGAGCATAAAACTACGGCACAGGGTTAGAGATCAGATAGGTAAAGCATCCAGCACCCTTCTTGACAACACCTAAGTAGTAGCCACCTATGATTCCAATAGAAATCATGATCATTTCTAAAAATCGTGTCCTGAAGCCTTTTCTGGTTCTTGTCCCGACGTTGTGCTTCTCCAGTCAGTCACTAGCGAAAGAGTTGCCTCAGTGTTTCTCCACCTGGGCACAGTTGACATTTGGGATGGATGAATTTTTGTGCACTAAAAGCGTTTGGCAGCCTAGGCTCCCTGGCCTCTACCCACTAGATGCCTGTCACAACCCCAGTTTTGACAGTGGGAAAATGCCCTTAGACATTGCTACATGTCCCAGGAGGGTGGGGGGCGGAGGGGGCCGGGTCAGAATCACCCAGCCTTTGAGAACTACTGTGCTAGCAGGTTGTAAAATGTTGGGATTCCATTGCTTCCTTGAAGGAAATTCGAGCAGGGCCCTCACCTTGTATAGAGGGACCCTCTAAGCCCAGTGTAGTTGTCAGTATTTCTGTGGAAGCCCCAGCAGCAGCTGTGAGAGGAACTCAGTGGCACGCTTGTATTGCACAGGACATGGCTGTTTCTGAGAAGCCCAGGGTTTGGGCTGCTAATCTGCACTGGTCTGGAGGGTAGTGATTAGCTCTGACCACTTACGTCTTCTTTTGTGTAACCGTTTATTAAGCTCTCAGAAGAGATGCTCCAAGTGTCCTTTGCTGATGAGGGATGGCAAGATGCAAAGAAGGAGCTTGCCAGGGGAAGACAGGCAGAGGGAACAGCTCTCGGAGGCTGAGCCCAGTGCACCTGGCTGTGTTTAAAGAGCTGTAATGATGCTTTTTTCCGGTCTGCTTCCTGGCTGGCTGAGGGCCCCTGCGGGACACGGTCTATGTCTGGTTCACCCTGGCATCGAGCTGTAATCCAGAGATGGAGACGAGGAGTGTGGTGGTCGAGAGCCGAGGCTGCTCAGACCCAGGTTTGAACCCCAGTTCTGCTATTTTTGACCTGTGACATCAAGAAACTCACTTAACCTCTGTGATCCCCAGGGGTACAGGATGACATGGGTTAAATGTACTGCTGGGAATGAGTTGGTGTGAGGGTCAAACGAGATAACACAGTAAAGCTTTGGGCACAGACCAGGAATGCAGGTTGGATTTCTGGCCCAATGTTCTGCCTTTGTTGGTTGGGGTTTCATGTAAGAGTTCCCTTTTTAAAAAGGTCCTGCTATATGAGAGATTTTGAAACCACTGGCTTAAAAGTAAGTCTCCGGCTTGTAGAGCCCTTGCTGTGAAAGCGCTCAAGCAGGCTCTCAGTTCCTGTGCTGACCTGGGTTGCGGGGTGTGATTATTTGGGAGGTGACATGAGCGGTGCTAAGGGAGAAATGTGCCGGTGCTTTCT